CTACTCGCAAAATGTACGTCACAAACGTAACATTTATTTGTTAGCATCTTGTCGTCTCGTGGAATGCATCGCATCCACTCCTCAATCTTATCGCTAGGAGCACGGAAGAAATGTCTCTTCTCGTTCGATGACTTATATCCTGCCTTGCATACTGCCACAAAGCACGTTGGCATTTTTATGTAGCTAAAAAAACAATTATTATAGGTCAAAATCACTGACTTCAGTATATACCTAGCAAAAACAACGATCTCCTGCTAACAGTGGCGCCGACTAGCGGCAAATATTGTCTCTAGCTAAGTTTGAACTATTAGTCGAAAGACCAGTTAATCTATCGACTCTGACCACACTACTACAGTATTGTCTTCGTCTACTTCCTGTTTCGTTTGTTTTCTTTCTGCATGTGCTCTGAATCTTTTACAGGAATAAATTCCTATACAAAAAGGGAATCCTTCTGCAGTGAGAACCCTAATTTAAAAATTTCCCTAAACGTAGGGAATAGAGTGTGATTTAGATGATAAGGGAAGATTTGTAAAAATTCTAGATTTGTAAGGAAATTTTAAAAAGTTGGGGAAAGTCTGGAAATTTACACAACATATCCACCTTCGTCCGAGAGTCTGCTATGTTACTTTACGTATAGGGAAAAATCGACTGTTTTCGACCCATGCATGTGCTTTTGATAAACAGATTCGATAACGAAAAGAGGGCCCGTCTACTGCGATATTTGAAAAACAATAAAATTTTGCCTTCTGAAGTAAATTTATTTTCATTAAATCATATAAAACTCAGTGGCTTGCCGTGACATTTGATGATAGGGAAGCTGTGTTTCTGTAAAAAGCCGACTTCCCGGGGCAATCAGTCAGTGATGGTCTACGGCAGTGTTCCGCAACCGGTGTGCCGTCACAAAGGTGAAGGTGTGACGTAAATTTTACATATTCTATTAATTTCAAGTTTTATTTATACATTTTAATCACAGTTGCTGTGTTTTTTATGCGTGTATTTCATTCTCTGCCGCAGCACTGATGAAATAAGACGATGTTTGTTTATTCTTTATTATATACAAGCCACGCATTTTTATGTATTCTAAGAAATTAAATGTAAAATAAATTTGCTTACAGGTGTTGGTCTGTTTAATAATAATAATAATAATAGGTTTGTGGCATTGTGTAATTTTATTAATAGTATCATATCATACGTTTTTGAGGAAAATAACATTTTGGTGTGCCGTGTTGAGTCATAGGTGTGCCGCAAGAAGAAAAAGGTTGTGAGACACTAGTCTAGGGTCCATTCGTATTCGTTTGTTCGATAAGCCATTAAAAACCATAGACTTCTCTAAATGTATTTTTAATTAATAGATTATCTAACGCACTTAATACATAAGCAAGTTCAATATAATTACCTCTGTTATATTAGATTTAATAGATTCCCTACGCTTTCTAAATGCCAATTCTCGCTTCGATAACACCTACTAATTTAAATATAATACACCTATTAGCCGTAACTTTCATGTTATAATTTTCAATATTGTTTTATATTGTGTACTAATGTTAAATTCTATTATATTTTGATTTCCAAATTGCTTCAATTTTACGGAAGAATCGATGCGAGATTTACGATTTTCGTGTCTTTTGCGAACTTTAGTCAAATTATTTAAATCGTCAAAGCCATTCTTATTCCACACAGTAATTTTATTTGAAAACAGTAGGCAAGGCCAACAAAAACAATTTTTGCATTTTTATGCATCCACAAAGCTATTTTATGTCTTCATAAATTTTATCGGGAAAATGTCGAACAAATTTTTTTGTTGACGTGTTTAAATTACCTAGCTGCAAGGACCCGCTTCGCTGGGTTTTTATTTGTAAGCAAAAAGTAACGATAGTGAAGCTTAAGATAATTACATTATAGCCAATCTTACCCGTTTTCACAGAATGTAAGAATTACGTCCCCCGTTTCCAGACTAATTAGAAAATTTTTACGTCCAGTCAAACGAACTATTTTCAATTTGATCAATTTTCTGGAACGTTTACAATCGTTCTACAATCGAACCAACTCGAATTTAAATTAGAAAATTTTTAAAATCGAAATAGAAAATCTTCCACTTTTAACCACTTTCAGCCCCATATCTCCCGCACCCTTATAGCTATCGAGACGCAACCACCATAATGCACGAATGAAGACTTGGGGCTACTATCACATACAAACATCATTCATGTGGGATGTGTAGTTTTGGCTGCAGAGAGAAATATAGGGACACACACGTCCATTTATATATATATAGATAGATTTAGGCATTGGTCTTTCTCTTTTAATAATGTTTTCTCTTTCATTATATGGTCTCGAGCCAAAACTTTTTTGAAATAAATTTTCAATTTCACAATTACATTCTAAATTGCTAGTCATAATATAAAGCTAAAATTAAAAGTAAAATTATAAAAACTTACTTGTTAAAATAAAATGTGTGATGGATATACAATGATGGTCTAAACCCTAGAAAATCACTGACTGATTGCTCCTGAAAGTCGGCTTTTTACAGAAACACAGCTTCCCTATCATCAAATGTCACAACACGACACTGGTTTGAAATTCTTCTTACAGTGTTTACATTAAAATTTCTTTCGATTCCTTTTACCTGCAATTAAAAAATTGCTTTAAATAATATTTTATTTGTGTGTAATAAATTAATTTTTTTCAATAGAAGCAATAAATAACCAGTAATAGTATTTAACTAAAAATAAACTAAAAATTTATATAGTTCAAATTATTTCAAGTTAGAAATAGCTGGACATTGGGCAGGTTTCTAAAAACAATTATCACGCCACTTTTAAATGCAAATCAAACCTTTCATGCTAATAACTTTATGAAAATGAAAGTATTAATTTACAAAAATTATTTTAATCTGCTGCCTTTGTTTTAAAAAAAAAACGATAATACTGGCTTAATTCACTAAAAATACAAACAAATAAATTAGGTTAAGTGGCAATTATTACGAAGATAAAATCTTTACAAACGAAACTTTAAATCGCATCATATTTTTGCATAAATTTAATTATAGCTTCAAGCATGCCAACAGATAAAAATTGTTAAACACTAATGGAAACGAACGAGTTAACTTACACATATCATTGCTCCGGCAGAATTTTTACTTCGAATTTCGAACTAACCGAATTCCTTAACATGTGAAAATCTATTATACCCACGGCCGGGACAAAAGTACACTTACGAACTAACAAAAATTTCCTGTATTAAGGATCAGACCGAAATATGCATTGTCGAAATTAAATCGAATAAATTAATACGGACAAGTGTGGATGAAACAATTCTTTATTCGAGAACGTTTTACATAACATTTTAATTACATATTAACAATTCGGGAATTGATATGAAGTCATGATAATTAAACTCATTAAGTTAAAAGCGTGTTTCCAACAAACTTATACATAAATACTGTTCTAGATATGCAAGCAAAAAATTGCAAATAGATAATTTCAGCAAATTCGAAATTAAATTTTGTTAACACCACGTGTGATAATAAATACAGGGTTCTGTCGACCAACAAAAAAGTTGTTTGTTGTAGAATTATATTTCAAGGAAATTACATCCGAGTATGAATATTGTGATGCTTTTTTAGTTGAAACTGTCAAGAAATTCATAAAATTAAAAAATGATTTTAATTTTAAACTGGTTTTATTTGTACCTTGTGATTATTATACATAAATAAAAATTATAAATTTCGAAGAAAAATTATTTCTAATTGTGAATATTGTAATGGTTTTTTAGGTCTGTGTTTCGAATGAATTTCTCTGGACATAATTGACATTCATACAGTTTTTCTCCGTTGTGGATCCGAAGGTGTCTAACTAAGTTTCCTTTTACTGAAAATTTCTTTTTACACTCGTCACAAGTGTAAGGCTTTTCTCCAGTATGCGTGCGAAGATGTGTAATTAAGTTCGCCCTCCATGAAAACTTCTGTTTACATTCATCACAAGTGTAAGGTTTTTCTCCAGTATGCATGCGAAGATGTTTGATAAAGCTTCCTTTTTCAGAAAACTTCTGATTACACTCGTCACAAGTGTAAGGTTTTTCTCCAGTATGCGTGCGAAGATGTTTAATTAAGTGCTCCTTCCGTGAAAACTTCTGTTCACATTGATCACAAGTGTAAGGCTTTTCTCCTCTATATATTCTTTCATGACGTTGCAAGTTTTGTTTAGTTGTGAAGTTCTTCTTACAGTGTTTACATGAAAATTTCTTTCGGTTCCTATTATCTGCAATTAAAAAAATTGTTTTAAATAATATTTTATCTGTGTGTAATAAAATAATTTTTTTCAATAGAAGCAATAAATAACCAGTAATAGTATTTAACTAAAAATAAACATTTATATATCGAAAAGCACATTTCTGCATCAAAACATGAAAACTAATTTTAGAAATGACAAAGTTCGAGTATAAATATATCATATTAGTGATATTACTAATGTTATTTTCAAACACAGATAATTCAGACTGACATATTAAAGAAAACAATTTCTGTAAAACATTTTAAAGTGTTTTTATATCTTCATGCTCATTCCATTGATCCTTATTTCATGAAATAGATTTCTCTCCTGCTTCTTCAAGTAAAACACTATCGAATATACAATTTTTTTCTATAATCTTGGAAAATATTTTCTTCTAAACGTTGTGTTTCATCCAAAGAACAACTACAAGTAATAACATCACATATGAAATAAATTCTATAAAATTTAATTTAATTTGACTTTAACATTAGAATGTTTTATTCATAATCCTATTCATTCGTATTGTTAAATGAATAATTGTATATGTTAAATTCGAATAAAACGAATATTGTATTTAAAAAAATACTTCCTTCATAAAAAGAAGAATTCACAACGTTCAAGCCTGTAAAATAGAAATTTTAAAGAGGGAATAATGAATTTCATTCTTGCAAGATTGGATTTCGTTCTTTTCCTTTTCTTTTTAGTTTCTGTTTTCTGTATTTTCAAGATGAAAATTAACTAAATGAANGGTAGGGATGAGATTTATAAAAATTGTCAATGGGAATAACGTGTGAAATCATTAAGTTTGTGAACGAGGGTCGTTTGTCATATCTCCAGTAGGACCACTACTGCAGATGTGACACGACCTTCGTTTGTCTGTTTACCCCTTCGATCTTTAACCACCAAAATTGAATTGCGTCAATACTCCCAGTAGAGAAACATTCCTAAAAATTTCAAAGTTTTGTACAGAAAGCAAACAAACGAGTTATTATGCTACGGAAACGTAAAGAAAATAGTGCATTTCACACACACCCACAAGAACATCCATATACAGTGTGTGATCGGTTAACGAACAAATCGGATAACGAACACTTCACTGAACAAACACAAGAAGCGAAGTAAAATAACGAATACTGTTTGGTCTTCCTTTGTCTTCAGGCAACAATTCGAAACTTTTCGGAGCGCGGGAGACGTCGACATCGACGTTCAATCTAGTATATACTGAACGGTTAGTATTCCCCCGAACTTTGAAAATCTCCCTTGTAATTCTAGCCTTTTATATTTCTGATAGAAACAATTCTTTTACGTTTTCTTTTGAAAAAGCGGATTTATGCCGATATCTGCTATTAAAGATCTTTTGAAGAAATGGGAGAATGTCAGAACAAAACGATCTTAAAATGGCATCCAAACCAGGTTGAGGTTAATAGGCGTAGGGATGTCTACAATTACAATGCGATTAATTACTTCTGAAAAATCATGAAGAAGACAGAAAAGCAATCGACATTGAACAAATTCTTTAACCCCCACAACGGAAAAAACATAACAAATAAAAATGCAAGACCTTGTATACATGTATTTTTATTATTACATATGAATAAATGCAGTAAGAAAGTATATATTTATTACTTTTGGGAGTCTCCAGAACGAATTAATCAAATTCCCATAGAAACGTATGGTAAATCGATAATCGGATAACGAACAAAATCTTGGAACGGATTATGTTCGTTAATCGATCATCCACTGTATACAGAAAAATTCCGTTTTACTTAAGGTCTCGACTTCAAAAAACTAAGAATCTTGAATGGTCATTTTTTTCACCGATGGACATAGTTTTCCTCGGTTATCTATGACAACCAGGAAAGTAATTACTGAAGTAAAATAAATTTTCTAAATTAGAGAAAGGTATCAATGATTATCACAAAAAAGAACACTATCCGAATATTCTCACGTACTCCTTCTATGACGTCATGAAGTCTAGATTTAGGTCCGTACGTAACGTAACCCTGAACTGTTACCAAGGTTGAAAGTGAAGAGGAGAGCGTCAATAATAACAGAGAAACCTTTTTGACGTCCAGGTATTTTACGTGTATAATGTAAACAAAACCTTTCCAAAAATATTGATATATTTAAATAACGTATGTAAAATATAAATCTAAATTAGAATAAAGATGTTTCGTATACTGAGGAAAAGGTAACTTAGATAACGCTTATATATTGTATATAAAACTATGCCCTAAATAATCTAAGCTAATCGTAATACCAGAAAAAAATAACTTATAAAATCAATAAATAAATTATTTTCTAAACTAATTTATTATCTATTATATTCATAAACACAGGTTGATTATAGGCTAATTATTACTAATTAAAAGTAATTCAATGGGAAATAATAATCAAACGAACCCGTTAGATTCAATCCCTACTTTCTCATAAAAAGCATTCAGTCAAGCTTGATGTGGGAATTTCTAATATTTATATAATTTAAGTTCGTTTTTATGTGCTAAATTTATTTAATTTCAACGTTGTCGGCAATTTTAAATGAACAATATGACACTTAATATTGATAACTCTGCTGCTTGCCCTTACATTATTATTATTCAACGTATTTTCGATTTCTATTTTAAAGCTTACCAAATAGCAATCAAGTATTTCAAAGCAATTTATTACAGTTGTAAATAATTGTATACTCGATTGCTGTGTGATTAGCCAATAAATATAAATTACAACGGTCTTCGTTTATGCAAGAATTACGTTAAATAATATGACATTTAATTGTTCTCTTAGGGTGCGACAATGTAGACGCGAATTTAGAGCGAGCGACAGGTTGCGAGCGATTTAGTTTCGCAAAGGAAAACCATGCACAAACGAGAAGCGAGAAATAACGCTGGCTAGAGCGAATTCCTGATTCTCGCATATATCTGACAGGTTTTGATATTTATCGCGTCTCGTTTCTTCTCGCCACATATTCTCGCTTGCTCGCGTCTGCATAGTCGCACCCTTATTGTCAAAGCTCTTAGAAAATTAAATATAAATTGATTAATCACACTATAAAAAAGTAAATAAATTCGATTAAGTCTGAATGAAATATAAATATCTAACAAGATTATAAGCGTGCAGTTCAGTTTTTATTTTTGATTAAGCAAATATTAAATCTATATAATATCAATTATTTAATGAAAAGTTGNTCTCCGGTGTGGGTGCGAAGATGTCTAATTAAGTCTATTCTTTGTGTAAACAGAAGTTTACACTCGTCACAAGTGTAAGGCTTTTCTCCAGTGTGAATGCGAAGATGTGTAATTAAGTTTCCTTTTTGAGAGAATTTTTGTTTACATACGTCACAAGTGTAAGGTTTTTCTCCGGTGTGGGTGCGAAGATGTCTAATTAAGCTTCCTTTTACAGAAAACTTCCGATTACACTCATCACAAGTGTAAGGCTTTTCTCCTGTATGTATTCTTTCATGACGTTGCAAATCTAGTTTAGCTGTAAAGTTCTTCTTACAGTGTTTACATAAAAATTTCTTTTGGTTCCTTTTATCTGCAATTAAAAAAATTGTATTAAATAATATTTTATTTGTGTGAACCTTCTTTGCATTCT